CATACATTACTATAGATCATCATACTGTCATACATTACTACAGACCTATCATACATTACTATAGATCATCATACTCTCATACATTACTACAGACCTATCATACATTATTATAGATCATCATGTTGTCATACATTACTACAGATCTATCTTACATTTTTACAAATCTATCATACATTACTATAGATCATCATACTGTCATACATTACTACATATCTATCATACATTACTACAGATGTATCATACATTACTGCAAATCTATCATACATTACTATAGATCATCATACTGTCATACATTACTACAGATCTATCATACATTACTACAGATCTATCATACCTTACTATAGATCATCATACTGCCATACATTACTAGAGACCTGCCATACATTACTACAAATCTATCATACATTACTACAGACCTATCATACATTACTACAGATCTATCATACATTACTATAGACCTGTCATACAATACTACAGATCTATCATACATTACTACAGATCATCATCCATTAATACTGATCTATCACACATTACTACAGACCTATCATACATTATTACAGATCTATCATACATTACTACAGACCTGTCATACATTACTACAGATCTATCATACATTACTACAGATCTATCATACATTACTACAGATCTATCATACATTACTACAGATTATCATACATTACTACAGATCTATCATACATTACTACAGATCTATCCTACATTACTACAGATCTATCATGCATTACTACACACCTATTATACATTACTATAGATCATCATACTGTCACACATTACTATAGATCATCATACTGTCACACATTACTATAGACCTGTCAAACATTACTACAGATCTATCATACTGTCATACATTACTACAGACCTATCATACATTACTACAGATCTATCATACTGTCATACATTAATACAGATCTATCATACATTACTATAGACCTATCATACATTACTACAGATCTATCATACATTACTATAGACCTGTCATACATTACTATAGACCTGTCAAACATTACTACAGATCTATCATTCATTACTATAGATCATCATACTGCCACACATTGCTATAGACCTGTCATATATTACTCATTTCTACACAGTATCAATCAAAAAGTTGCTGAACATAAAATGGCAAGACATGAACCCTGACACTGAAATCCTTGAAATAAACTGTCCAGTATTTACTCGATTCTAAAACAATCACAACATTGCTGAGCAGATCATATATTCCACATGCCTGACAAGTGACTGCCAAACTGCATTTTGTATGGTGAGCTACTAAAAGGAAATTACTTTCAATATGAAAAGAAGAAATGTTTCAAGGACAGCCTTGAGATCTCACTGAAAGACTGCTGTACTGATGGTAAAACCTGGGGAGTCGCTGCATGTGACCTCTCATCGTGGCGCTCCTCTCTTCATCGAGGAGCTGTGGCCCATGGAGCTGCGAAATCACCAAAGAGATGCGGCTTCTATTCCCTGTCCACACTGCTCAAGTACTGTCAATGCTAGAATTGGCCTTATCAGCCATCTGTGCACTCACAAAACCTAACCCAGTCACCATTGGAGGAAAGGACTGGTCATCATCACTTGTGATGGATGAACAACATACTATAGACGTACCATACATTATTAAAGACCCGTTATACATTACAACAGACCTGTTATATATTACTATAGACCTGTCATACATTACTACAGATCTGTCATACACTACTATAGACCTGTCATACATTACTACAGATCTGTCATACACTACTATAGACCTGTCATACATTACTACATATCTGTCATACACTACTATAGACCTGTCATACATTACTACAGATCCGTCATACACTACTATAAACCTGTCATACATTACTACAGATCTGTCATACACTACTATAGACCTGTCATACATTACTACATATCTGTCATACACTACTATAGACCTGTCATACATTACTACAGATCCGTCATACACTACTATAGACCTGTCATATATTACTACAGATCTGTCATACACTTCTATAGACCTGTCATACATTACTACATATCTGTCATACACTACTATAGACCTGTCATACATTACTACATATCTGTCATACACTACTATAGACCTGTCATACATTACTACAGATCTGTCATACACTACTATAGACCTGTCATACATTACTACATATCTGTCATACACTACTATAGACCTGTCATACATTACTACAGATCTGTCATACACTACTATAGACCTGTCATACATTACTACAGATCTGTCATACACTACTATAGACCTGTCATACATTACTACATATCTGTCATACACTACTATAGATCTGTCATACATTACTACAGATCCGTCATACACTACTATAGACCTGTCATACATTACTACATATATGTCATACACTACTATAGACCTGTCATACATTACTACAGATCTGTCATTTATTACTATAGACCTGTCATACATTACTATCATCAGTCATCATCATTCCTCGTTGTGCCTAGTGGCACATGAGGCTTCAGACAGGACTTTCCATGCTTTCCTGTCCTGTGTAATCTTCAGTGCAGTTTTCCATGTCAAAGATTCCGCACTCAGGTCACTTTCCATCGTTCTTCTCCATGTTGTTTTTGGGCGCCCCTGTTTTCTCTTTCCCTCTGGTGTCCATGTGAGAGCTGTTTTGGCAGGTATATCAGGATTCATTCTCATAACGTGGCCAAGCCATTTCCATCTTCCCTTGGTTATCACATTGTCTAAAGTTTCTTGGTTTGTGACTTGAAGTAGTTTAGTGTTTGAGATTGTATCTGGCCAGAAACTTTTGTTAATTCTACCTAGACATGTGTGGTGGAAGGTAGAGAGCTTGTAAAAAATCTTTTGGTCATTCTCCAGCATTCTGATCCATAAAGAAGAACTGGCAAAATGATGCTCTTATAGAGACAGAGTTTCGTTCTTCTCCAGTAATTGTTGGATTTCCAGATTTGCCTCATCCTTCCAAAAGCAGCTCTAGCTTTGTTCAAACATGACTGTACGTCCTCTTCGGTCCTTCCCGGCAGGGACACCACAATGCCAAGATATGTGAAATGTTCTACATTTTCAAGAGTTTGGTTATCTATGGTCACTGGTTGTTGGTTTGGACTGCTTATCATGACCTTAGTTTTCTTTGTATTTATTATCAGTCCCACCATTTCTGCTCTGCTGTATAGGCTGTTATTTTTTTCTTGTACATGTTCATGTTTATGTGATAGGAGTGCTATATCATCTGCAAAATCAAGGTCCTCAAGCATGGTGAATGGAGTCCATCGTATGCCTCTGAATGTTCTGTCTACTGTGTTCTTTAGTAACCAATCAATCACAAGGTTGACGAGGAGAGATGACATAACACATCCCTGTTTTACACCTGTCTTTACTTGGAAAGATGTATTGTAATTTTTTATACTGCAGGAAAGGTCTTTATAGAAGAGAGCAATTATGTTGACTATTTTTTCTGGAATTCCATAATGTCGTAAAATTGTCCATAGACTGCCTCTATGTACGCCGTCAAAAGCTTTCTCAAAGTCCACAAAATTAATATATATACTTCTCTGCCATTCGTTGCATTGTTCTAAAATGTTGCGTATGGCAAAGATGTACTCAGTTGTTCCTCTGCCCTTTCTGGATCCTGCTTGTTCTACTAGTAGGCATTTATCTACTCCTTTTTCAAGCCTCATTATGATGATTTTACAAAATATTTTGCTTGGTACTGGAGAGTAGAGTAATTCCCCTCTAATTATTGCAGTCTGTTAGGTCTCCTTTTTTGGGGATTTTGACTATTGTTCCTTCAGTCCAGTCATCAGGCAACACTTCTTTTCCCCAAATATCCTTGAACAATGGTTCTAGAATGCTAACAGTTGTGTTGGGATCTACTTTAAGAAGTTCTGCTGGCAGTTCGTCTTTGCCTGGTGCTTTGTTGTTCTTTAGAATGTGGATAGCTTCAATGATTTCTTGTTTGCTTGGTGTTTCAGTAATAATGTCAATGTCCTGATAGGCTGGTTGAATATCTGGGGGATTTTTAGGATCAGGTCTGTTCAAGAGGTCGGAGAAGTGTTTAGTCCACTGCATGTCTTGTTTTTGTTCTGTGGTGAGCAGTCTGCCTTGGTTATCTCTGATGGGTATGTTGTGATAATTGTTTCCTCTTCCGCACATTTGCTGGGTAATTTTGTGTAGGGTTTGTAGATCATGTGCTTTAGCAGCATTTTCTGCTGTTTCTGCTAGATTTTCCATAAATCTTCCTTTGTCAGCTCCAGCACTTTTATTTGTCATTGTATTTAGTTCGCTATATTCTAACATTAGTTTGTCTTTCTGACGTTCTGATTTAGTGTGATTTATGAGGCTCTTTATTCTCTTTCGCTTGGCAATATGGTCCATACATTACTATAGACCTGTAATACATTACTATAGACCTGTCATACACTACTATAGACCTGTCATACATTACTACAGATCTGTCATACACTACTATCGACCTGTTGGCGTCTGTGGATTAGGCGCTGCGAACGCACTTCATAATAAAATACTACATAATCTGGCCCTTGAGCTCACAAAGTAGCAGAACACATAAACATACTTTTGTATGCAGAAAGAAAACAGTTCAAATGTCAACATTTAAAAAAATAAAAAGTGATAACCTAAACAGTGAAAACTAGAACAACTTTCCCTCAATAACATGATTTCTTCAAAATTATTAGTTTGAAAAGACACATTGAGGAATATATAGAGAAGCTTCAGCTGGTGAGTGTGTCTGGCCAGAGGCATAGCAAGGGATTATAATATAAAATTCTCCCACACAAATATTGTGTTATAAGATAAGATGGGTGTTTTGTTTACAATGGATTTATTCTATATGCCCGCAACCAGGTATGTAATTAAAAAAAAAGGTTGCCCACTCCTGCTATTTTCCGGAGGGTTGTTATGGGAGCAAGGTTCTGAAAAGGACATGCTACTGACTAACTCCTGCTATAGGCCAACAATACATCACCTGGTGGACAGGCCTCGGCTACAGTACTGATGTGTGTTGCCCTCCACAGTGTAGGTTTTCCCTGTGCCTGTTTGGCCGTAAGCAAATATTGTCCCATTGTAACCATTCAAAAAATCTGCAGACACAGATGTAGATAAAATAAACTGTTTACTGTTAAACTGTTTTGTTATTGAATACATATTACTTTTTCTTCTTTGTTTACCAACTGTAAGCTCCGGCAGAAAGTCCTGATTGTTGTTAGTTCATTCGGAGTGGCTTTGTGCCAGGGTCCGGGTTTTGCGTGTACATCAGTTTCACTGGCTCATTTGTGTGCAGTTGGTTGTTCCTTGCAGCTCGGACAGATGCACCCCAAGCAGATGTACTCCGACTTATAAGGATGCTCCAAATTTTTCTACTCTTATGACACGCTTTTCATGAAGACAGTGGGTCAATTCTTGTTTTTCCCACAATGGGGCCCCGAAATCCACACGGGGACAGAATACATTTTACAATATATATTGCAAAACCTACCATATGACACTGGGCTAAAACCTGGAATCAATCAGACCACAAAATAAGGAGAAAGAAGAAGAAAATATCCAACTGCCAGAACTTTCTGTGATTAGACTAGCAATGTGCCGAGAGAGACCATTTGTATTTCAGTGGAATTAATTCAACTTTGTGGGCTTCATTATAAGTTGATGAAACCCTGTAGTGATGCACCTGACGAGATACAGCAAAATATGCCAGGCAACAAATTGTGCAATGTATTGTCTGTGTCTGTATTTGTATGTGAGAAATGAGATGCATGAGTTTACTGTTACCAAGATTAAAGGCATTTCAGCAAAAAAAATCCAACAATTTAAATTATTTTATCATTAATCAGATGCCGTCTCCACAGTGAAGTTTGGCTGCAATGGATCTCCATCCCACTCTGTCTCTTATCCTGGTTATACACTCTCTCAGACTGCTGCCGTCCATCTCTTGATGTTGTTCTCCCACTTGTATCGTTGCATACCTTTTGCTCTCTTGCCTTAGACCTCTACCTCCAGTATGGTTTTTAAAAGTGTGTTATGTCTTTTAATTGTCTCTCTTTTTTTTTTTATTTCAGTAATTCTTTTTTCATTTGTAGCCTTTCCAGAACCTCTGTATTGGACTGTTTTTGTTTCCATGAAATACAATCTATTCTTCTGAATACCCATATCTCTATAGACTCAATTCGATTTTCTAATTGCTTGTTCAAACAATTTAACAGGCTTTGAAACATCATCATAATTTATACTGTGCATAGCTTATGCTGTCATGATATGCTATATCAAATCATTACCAGAGACGTGATACTAAGTAAAAAACGATTGTGGGGGAGAAAGTTGAGGTGACAACTGCCAAAGACTGAAACAGTTAAATAAAAGACAGAAAGCAACATTTATCAGAATTATATATACATTATACAATATGTATTTGAATGGTATCCTCAAACAAACAAAACAGAAAACAAAATGTATCTGAACGATATCATCAAGTGAAAAAAAACAACACGTATTTGAAAGATATTCTAACACAAAAACCAACATGTATCTAAATTATATCCATGAACACCATCTTTCCCCAATTATAAGACGCACTTATTTCCCAAAATATAGGGTCTAAATGAAGTGTACATCATATACAAGGGTAGTAGACCTTTATGTAAGCATTTATTTTTTTCTCCTAAAATTTCAGGTCTCTGAATCGTGGTTCGCTGTATACATGGGGTTATCTAACACTTGGAGAAATATGATAAATCCCTAAACTTAAGACAGAAAACAATGTGTATTTGAATGAATATCCAATACCCGTGTGGGTTCAGGACCCTATTATAAGGAAAACAAGAATAGACCCACTGCCAACCCAAAAGCATGTCGTAAGAGTCGACTAATTGGGAGTTTTCTTTGAAGTTGGTGTGCATCTGCCTGAGAGGCAAGGAACCAGCAGTCTGCATACAAATGAGTCAGATCTGTAAAATGGATGCACATGCAACACTCAGGTCCTGGAAGAGGACTGCAGTCCAGAAGTGGACGAGCAACCTTAACTTTCCGCTAGAGTTTACAGCTGGTAAACGCAAGGAAGAAGAAGAAGAATGATATCACTCAACTTTTCAGTCCCAGGCAAATATTCCTTACCTCGTTGATTCCAACATATTTTTTCGCCCAGAGTTACAGCTGTTTAGATTCAAAGAGGTTAAAATAATCACAAAGGGTTAAAAGTAACATTGCATTAACACAGGTTATTATAACATCTACTTGGGGAATGAAGTGTTTAGAAAAGGGATATCATGACAGGAGTAACCAGTAAACACATGGTGAGTTGACTAGGACTGAATGAGTCAAACAAAAAAAGACAGAAAAGCCTACTTTGAATGATATCCTTAGCAGCAACATTGAAGACATCTTCCTGAGTTGACGCAGGGTTAAATATTTCTGTAAAAGAAACTTCATACGACAAACATCCACGGTTGGCCACTTGTTGAGGATCTATGAAAATGCATTCCTTGTTGTCAACAATATGAATCCTTAAGGTGTTGGAGTCCACCTCGTAGCCTGGGTACACCTTTTTGGACGGCTTTAGGCGAGCGTAGGTTTTGATGTGTGCCATGGGGGATAGCTGTGGCCAGGTTTTACTTTTACAAGTACCAGAGGTGTCCCGTAACCTCTGATGTCGTAGCGGAGACAGCAATAGCCAGTTATGTCTGGAAGAGAACGGAAAATTAAGTATGAGTGTTCAATAACAACAAAACAAGATGGCGCACATATCTGTGTTTTTAGACGACAGCACTACACTGTGTTATAGGGAGACATTGGGATAACAGTCCATAGTAATCTCTACCCAAAATAGAGACAATTATTTTTTTGGGGGAGGGGTTATTTTAAAGCCAATAAAGTCTAATTAGAAAATATAATATAGACGACAGTTTATACAGAATTAAACAGTGCTGATTACACAATGCCTAAAAATTCTACCAAATATTTTGACACTTCTATGATAGGGACCTACCAGCTGCTAGTGTATGTGTTAAAATATAAAACGGCCCATCCAGCTTTTCCTTGCTTTGAAAATTTTAGGGGGAGTTTACATTCACCATCTTGTTTCTAGCCGTCCCATGATGCAATACGTGCACACGATTATCCGAAAATGCCCAGAAAAACGTGGTACATTTTAAATTAAATTTATGTTTTTTCTCCCCTTAGTCTTCTTTTTATTTTTTCGTTTTTTTGCTTTTTCTTCTTCGTCTTCTTGTAATCCTTTTCTTCATCTTTTTTTCTCTCTCTCCTTTTTCTTCTACAAAGCTCAACTTGACTAACTCTTTTTCAGGCCCAAAAGAATTAGCAGTAGACAGTCAAATAGAATAATAACTACACCACACACAAAAAGGCAAGGATGAATTATATTTAGTGCTGCAACGCGCATTATAATATTATAGCCATATATTTTCCAGTATAGTCATAGCAAACGCAAAATAATTATTGCACTACTTGCGATGTTTGAAGCACTTAAAGAGTAGCATTGAAATGGAGCTTCTAACTCTATGCAATGAGTTTTGAGCTGGGTTACCCTCGCGACAATTTGGACACGTCCATAGGTACTTAGATTCCCAGTTCAACATAAACGTCAGCGTGGTTAATGTGCCAATCCTATGCTGGTTAATAAGACTCTGTATATGAGTGTGTATGAATGAGAATGTAAGAGTATGTGTACGTGTTTGAGTGTATAAGATTGTGTATTTATGATGTGTGTATGCATTATTCTATAATGTATATTTCTTTTTTATATATATATGTAACATGCATTAATTATAATAAGCCATTGGTACTCTGAAAGATGAGTGCTTATAAGGGCCTGCGTGCCCAATTTGTAACCCTTTGAAAATATAGTTTGTTCATTCGTTCGTTGGTTTGATATACAAGCTCTTAAATATAAACATTTCCCAATAACTCATTAACTGAATAGCAACAGCACTCTGCAAGAGACAGGTCGTTTTTAAATGTAGAAGATGGATCTCTGAGCTGAAAACACACAGGATTACCCCGGGGATTATCTTTATCCCAGTCCCTCTTTAATATTTTCTCTATCGAGGTGACAAAATATCAAATCAACGGGGAAGGAAAACCCCACTCATACGCTGGTGACATACCAGTGTAACGCCAACGCAAAAACAGGGGCAGAATTGTATAAGAACTCAAAAAGAAAGAGGGACGCATAGCAGATTGGTGTCAGTTAGTTAGTTAGTTTGCTAGTTAGTTAGTTGGTTAGTTAGTTAGTTAGTTAGTTAGTCAGTCAGTCAGTCAGTCAGTCAGTCAGTCAGTCAGTCAGTCAGTCAGTCAGTCAGTCAGTCAGTCAGTCAGTCAGTCAGTCAGTCAGTCAGTCAGTCAGTCAGTCAGTTAGTTAGTTAGTTAGTTAGTTAGTTAGTTAGTTAGTTAGTTAGTTAGTTAGTTAGTTAGTTAGTTAGTTAGTTAGTTAGTTAGTTAGTTAGTTAGTTAGTTAGTTAGTTAGTTAGTTAGTTAGTTAGTTAGTTAGTTAGTTAGTTAGTTAGTTAGTCGACAGACTATACTCATTGCAAGTCGAACCACTCGGTCATTAAGTGCTCTGATCCCCTTCTCATTAAATCTTGCAGCGTGTAGCGGCTAACGACACCAGTTCTGTGTTGGTTTTTTATTCTTCTTTGGCTACCCGTATAGTGTTCTTGTTTGGAAGCTCCCCATTTAACATGTTGTTCTAACAGTCTCACCATGGCTGCAGGCTCACAGTTCTCGGTTCACGCAAACATCTCAACACTCTTAGAGCATTTAGTATATCAGCCTGGCCCATGGCTCGTCCGGCTTTCACAGTAGCCTCACCTGCAAGCCTATCAGCTTGCTCGTTTCCTTGTACCCCTACATGTCCTGGCACGAAAATGAAACTAATCATTATCAGCTGGGAATTCTATAGAGCCACCAACCATTGCCTTTGGACCCAGCCCTTATCTACCTTCCTGAGCATACTCATCGAGTCACTGAGAAAGCATGCCCCAGTGAAAGTCTGTGTCTCTAGCCATGTTACTGCTTTAGTCACAGCCATGGCCTCCATGGTCAGACTACTTGTAGTTACGACAAAAGCCCCAGAATCTTCCTTCACAAATGCCCCCCCCCCCCCCCCACCCGAAAACTGAGCCGTGAAAGCCCACGAGCTTCTAACGTGGAGGATTACAGAACCATCTGTGTAAATGACAGCATCACACACTAGAGCGTTCTCGAAAATCAAGGCTTGAACTTCTGCTTCAACAGCAGCCGGACTCTGTTGTTGAATGCAAACAGAAAAAGATGTACAGCACTCTGAATGCACTTGCACCCACTCCCCGCCGGGTTCTATGTCCTCAAGTGAACATACTTGTAAAATAATGTCCTCGGCTTGACCCATCCACGATTTGCCTCTTTTTAACCTGCTGTCTTTCATCTTCTTGATTTGACTATGTACTGGATGTTGTTTGTCCGCCTTGACTGTGAGGTAGGCTGTGAGGTAGGGAAATTTGTATTCAGCCTTCCATGGTTGGAAAATGGAGAAAGTAGCGCATCGCCCTGCATGCTGTATCTCTTGTACACCCAAGTATAATGCGCATAGCCTCGTTCTGTATCCGTTCCATCTGTTTATGGCTGATAGTTAGGATCGCTATCGCGTATTCAAAAACAGAAAGGACCAGACCCTGGTATAGAAGACATAGATGACACTGCTCACAGTTTGCCTCCGCCATCATTCTCATCGCAGCCAGACCCCACTTGGCTTTCATTATAATATGATCTGTGTGCTCAGTATAAGCAAGGCTTCGATCAAAATGTATCCCCAGGTATTTCATTTTATTCGTTCTTTCCACAACCTCAGAATACAGACTAACAACTGGTGTTGGAGTTTTTACAATATGTTATTCAAAGAAAACCATGTCACTGCCGCCTTCGTTGGAATGACCAATGCACCAGCTTTACCATCATAATCATCATCATCAGGTGCCTTGCCGACTGGCGTGGGCAATCATGCCTCTCCATAATCCACGATCTCCTGCAGCATGAATCAGTTCGTGTGCCGACACACCTCCAAGCCATGCAATAAGACTGTCAAGAATCGTCTCTCACTGTCTTCATCTACCCCTCCTTCCACAGATCTTTCAAGTGGTCACATGTTCTATTTTCCCTCTTCTCATAACATGGCCGAAAAATGATGACTGTCTCCTTATGATGTCTGTAATAAGTTGTCTTCGGACTCCCGCCTCTTTCAAAACCTCTTGGTTGCTCTTTTTGGCTGTCCAAGGTTTTCTAAGCATTCTTCTGTATCACCACATCTCCGAGGTCTCAAGAAATTGTTTGGCCTGCCTACCGATTGTCCAGGATTCACAGCCATATGTTGGAACTGGATGTATGTAGCAAGCAAAAATTATTTTTCTAACTCCAAATGACAAGGATATATTGCACAAGATGTTTTTCATTTGATAAAAATGCAGTTTTTGCCTGTCCTGTTCTGTTTCTTAGCTCAGTTATGCATCTTCCAGCTGATGTTATCCATGTGCCCAGATACTTAAATTTCTGTACTTGTCCTAAAATAACACCATTGACTTTTATTACACATTTAGGAATCATTCTTTTCTTTGATACCACCATTACTTCTGTCTTCCCATTATTCAAACTGAGGCCCATTCTTCCACTTTCTAACACCACAATGTCTATCATTTCCTGTAATTCTTTCTGACTTGTCGCTATCAAGACTGTGTCATTAGCATAACGTAAATTGTTTATATTGTGCCTACCAACCACAATTCCGGGCATATCAATTAAAGATCTCATTATATATTCACTGTATATTGAAAATAAATCAGGTGATAGTACACATCCTTGTCGTACGCCTTTCTTTATGCTTTGAAATGTACCTAAACAGTTATTAATTCTTATAGCTGCTGTTTGCTGCCAATACATATTCTTTATTATTAGTAGATCTTTTCCATCAATGTTTAATTTTTCTAACAGTTTGATTACTTCTTCATGCTTCACACAGTCAAATGCTTTTGTATAGTCTATGAAGCAGAAGTACAAATCAGTCTTTACTTCTATAGCTCTTTCTGACAATGTGCTTAGGATGTATATGGCATTGTTTGTACCTTTTCCTTCTACAAATCAACATTGTTCATCGCTGATTTCTGGTTTAATTTTGTTTCTTATTCTTCTCAAAATTGTTCTCAGTAAAATCTTAGGCATGTGACACATAAGATTTGTTATGGTCTTCACATTTTAAAGTGCCTAGTTTCTTTGGCAGAGCGATAAATTTGGATTTTAAAAGGTCATTTGTAATATACCCACTATTATAAATATCATTTTAAAGTTTAGTTATTATTTCAGTTCCAAAATCTCCCAGTGCTTCGATTTCTTCCAGTGAGATGTTGTCTGTCCCGGGGGCTTTTCCTTTCTTCATATGATATTGCATCCTCAACTTCTGCAGTCATTATTGGTGGACCATCATTGTTGGTCTGCAGTTCTACATCTGGTCTATTATCATCATACAATTCCCCTGTATACTCTGTCCAACTGTTAATTATATTACTATGTCCCATTAATAAGTCACCATCTTTTGATTTTAAA